TGGTTATTTAAAATACCGGTGGCAGAGCCCTCAGAATCACAGCAACTCAAGCCACCACAGCACGACAGACAGACGAGTGGTGGCCATTTGGTTTTTTGTTGATACTGTCACTTTAAATTTTGATGTTAGTCCTGATACAATCAAGATGTTCTCTCCTGATACTATCAGTCCTGATACAATCAAGATGTTCTCTCCTAAAATGGCAGTTCCTGAAACAGCTGAGTGTCTTGATCCAGAAAACAATGGATTTCTGGATTCCCTTCAAATTCCCCAGCTGTAAATCTGCGATCCTCCACATACCTTTATATTTGTTTCAGAGTTCCAACACCATCTCATGAGCCCTCTTGGCCCAGGATTCCGTGTTGTTGTTGACTGAGCTCCTCACTACACGTCTACCCGATCCGCCATCTTAAAAGAGCAAGGCCTGGGAGTGTAGTGGTTAGACCTCGCTGCTTCGAGGCAATTAAATTACACGTTTAACCAAATATAGCAGACCTTTTTAAGTTGATAATTTCATATGGCCCACAAATGATGTTATCAGTTTTGGCAGCATAAAGGTTCCCCACTTCCACTGTATTGAGTTCGAGTAGCAACTGATAGATTGAACCCTACAGCACCACACCAGGTGTCCTATTCAAGTATAGGGGAAGCTTACTGAAAGACTTCACTATCTTGAGTTCATTTCTTTTAACCTACTCCACCGCTGACTTTGTGATCAACAGTCCAGTGCTGATCCAATAGCACACCATCCTATAAGCCAGGCACTAATCACAAATACTTTGTTGTTAAGGGCCTAGAGGCCACTTGACTCATAACCATCCTATGCACAACAGTACAAAACATTATCCGGCCGCACAATCCTCACAATAGTTGCTATTTTTGAGCCCATTGTTGCTGTCACAGTGTCAATCCATTTTGTTGAGTCTCCTCTTTTCCTTTAACCAAGAATGGTGTCCTTCTCCAGGAACTGGACCCTCTTGGTAACATGTCCATGCTCAAATCACCATGTGACATAGGTATTACTTCATTGTATTCCTTTTCCATAGGTGATGAGTCAGAAAAAACCAAAAGTAAATCTGTTCTCAAGTCTGTTCCAACTCATGGTGACCTTTTGTGCTATAAAACTGTTTCATAGATTTTCTTCATTGGAATCAGTGTCTGTGGGGTGTGTTTAAACCATTAGTCCCTTAAGTTATATGGTCAAATAAGCACAAAGTGCTAAGTGTGCAACCTAGGAGCATAGCAGCAAAAAAAAGCAGACAGGCTACATAACCAATTCATTATTGAATACATAACATGAAGAATTGTGAAAGTCAAGACTTCAAATTCAAGAAACCTTTCTGTATCATTCAGATGGTTGAGTTCCCCAATGCCAAGTAAAATTGGTTCATTCAACAGCAACTCATTCATACTCTATACCAAGTATAGTTCAGAACGCAATCAATTGCAACCTGGTAAAATGGAATGTTTAGGGCCTTTCATGGCAACCCTACAAGGGCATGAATGACTCAAATCATTTGAAGCCTTGGGTTTGGTTTTCTTAGCCTGTTTCTATTGTATCTAACTGAGGAGGAAGGGAATTTTGAAGACTGCTATGCAGAGAATTAAAATAGGACAGGATAGTGAATGCAGACTTGGGATTGGTTAATAGGAAATTTGAATTGTCATTTGATGTGCTTTTTTTGTTTTCTCACACACTTGGTTTCTTCCCTCATCCGTCTTCCTGGTGTCTCCTTTTAGGATCCTAACACATCATGTAAACATCCCACACCTCCCACCTTTCCCTATAGCCTTGACTGAACCTCCCGGTTTCACCACTCCTAGGCCTGTATGCAATTGGATAGAGTCAAGGGTTGAGGGACCAAGAAGTTAAGTGCTATCTAGTAGGTTCCAACACATAAGGACCCTGTATAGTTACCAAGAGTTGCTGATGGGTTTTAATTGTTGACCTTTTGGTTACCAGTCCAGTGCTTATCTTAGTGCCACACCAAGGCTCCCAAGAAGGGGTGGGGTCTCCCTTAACCATACAGAGATACTCAACTACCAGAAGCGAGCCTGAAAGTCTGAAGAGTTCTATTTCTTGTTGCCATCTAAGTCTATTTTAACAGGTTGTTGTTTAGTGCCATTGAGTCGGTGCCAACTCATAATGACCTTATGCAAAGCAGGAAACACTACCCTATCCCGGGAGACAGAATGCATAAACACTGTTTTAATAGGGTGTGGCGCTGTGGATTAATGCGCCAGACTGCAGGGTCAGCAGTTTGATGCTCCTTGGAAACCCTATACAGGTTCGCTATGGGTCAGAATCGTCTCAACAGCACTCAACAACTATAAACCATGTAGTACAGAACCTGGTTTATATTTCAAGCGCTGACACTTTATAAATGGGGTACATTAACTCTGGTTGTGAGGTAACTCCATTAGAGCTACAGGGTTTGAGTAGATGGGTAAGCGTCTTCCAAATCTGAATTCTACTTATTTGAAATCTAAGTGTAATCCAAATCATTTCCATTTTTAAGTAAATTTCCAATTCTGAAGATATTATGTGCCGTGGAGTCAGTTCTTACTCATAGGACCCTGTAGTTTTGAGGCTTTAAATCTTTTGTTGTTAAGTTCCGTCAAGTCGATTCCGACCCATAGTGACCCTGTACAGGGTTTCCAAGGCTGTAAATCTTGACGGGAGTAGAAAGCCTCATCTTTCTCCCGCGAAGCACCTGGTAGTTTCGAACTGCTGACCTTAAGGTTCCCAGCCCAATTCGAAACCACTATGCTATCAGAGCTCCTTAATGCAGTATGGTAGTGGTGGTTTTTTGATGTGGAGTCGGTTGGAATCAGTGACCCAGTATAGGATATCCTTTAAGAGAGCAGAAAGCCTCAACTTCCTCCTGTGGAACAGCTGATAGTTTCAAACTGCTAACAGTGAGATTAGCAGTCCGATTAGTTAACCACTATGCTACCAGAGCTCTGAAGGTATAGGATCTTCATAATTCGCCATATTACTTTCTCAGTGGAGAAGAGTTCTATCCAACAGTCTTCATGTGCCTTCACACAGAGGAAGTTAACAGGGTGGTCATAGACTTGGTAAAGAGTAGTAGCTTGTTTTACCACAAATTTCATGTCTAATAATGAAGTTAATTTTTTATAGACTTAAAGTATAATGTATAAATATAACACTTAAAATACTGGTTTGAAGAATGGTCCCCAGTCACCATTACAGGCATACCTCATTCTATTGTGCTTTGGTTGATAGGCCTACCTCAGTTATCACAGGTTCAGTTCCAGATCACTGCAGTAAAATGAATTATATCTCAATAAAACATGCCTCCCATCTTGTTTCCCAATGAATATAAAAACTTCATGTGTACACTATACTACCAACACAGGAACAAAGTGAGCACTTGCTGTTTGAAAAACGGCACTGGTAGACTTGCTCAAAGCAGAGCTGCCACAAACTTCAATTTGTAAAAAAAAAAATGCTATCTGCAAAGTGCAATGTTGTTGTTGTTGTTAAGTGCCGTTGAGTCGGTTCCGACCCATAGCGACCCTGTACAGGGTTTCCGAGGGTGTAAATCTTTACGGGAGTAGAAAGCCTC